CTATTGACAGCAGTTACCTGGAGTAATTTTTCTGCTGACTCTTTTCTAATTCATTTTGGCCATCCCCCTGCTCTCCCCAGGGCCTTATCAATTAAATTTTATGGGTACAGAGCAATGTTCCCTTTGAGCTGTGGAGTCTTGTGAGCAAAAACCGTACTTTGTGAGCTGCTGGCATTAAAGTTGCGAGTGAACCATTTGGCTGCTGCGTAAATCAGTTTGCTCTGGAGCCTTCCTTCCTGAGCTGAGACAAAAATGTGTGAGCTGGAGGCTAAAAAACTGTGAGCTGGCTCACACTAACTCAGCTTAGAGAGAACACTGGTACAGAGGCGGTGGTTGCCCACCCACTAGAGAACAGTCCCAATTACCACAAGGGAGCCAAGGGGCTAATCAGTGCTGGATTGTAGGCACTGGCAGATGGAGTCCAGTTCTGGACATAACAATGGGATTAACCAAGTACAGCTGGAGTGTCTGTGTCTTCTTCTGAACTCTTAAAGGACTGATCCTAGTAACAGTGATTCTGTTTCATAAAATATATGTATGGCAAATCTTTAGAAAGGGGGGAAGGGGTGCCTTTTGGAATTGCTGTCTCTTAGCAGATGGTGGTTCATGCTGCAGCCCTCGTGAAGCTGGATTTTCAACACAAACTTGACAATTGTTGACCACAAACACACTTTAGTGTTTCTCCATTTGAGGATCTGTAAGGAAGGAGGGTGTAACGGATTGCAAAGAAAAACAGGCTTTTTAACATGCTGCTTGTGTCTGGGAGTCAGGGATTTAAAGAGTTAATCTACCCTGGAGATAAGAGCTTATGTGATTGGCTGCTCTACTTGCTCTCTGATTGGCCAACATCAGCTGAGAGAGGGAATAAAACAGCTGATCTGGAAGGACATGAGGGTTTTTTTTCATTTTCTTTCCTTTGGTCTTGGTCTGACATCTAACATCTGGATCAGTAGCCAGAGGGTTTGGCTTCTGAGGTAAAAGACGTTTTGAAGTCAGTGTTTTCTGACAGGCAATAGTCAGAAAAGTACTTCAATAGAGAAAAGAAGAGAAACCTCATTGGTTTAGATACATTAAATCTGTTCTGAGGGAGAAATTAGATTCTCAGTCAGGAAAGCTATAGAACAGCCTTATACAGACAAAGGATACTGGAGAAGGATTTGGCAGAAGGTCTAGGTAGTTAGAGTGAACTCCCATACAAGCCAACTAGAAAAAGGAGTTATTGCTTCTTAGGGACAAGGAGAATAACTTCCTCCCAGTGAAAGAGGTTGGGAAGAAAACCCTGGCTCTTAATAATCACAGCCATTTTTAAGTGCTCGAGGGCTGACTGTTTGATGACTTGAACTAAAATCTTTCCAGGTACAGATGTCAAGCTGACAGGTTGGTTGTTACCAGGATCCTCCTTTTTACCCTTCTTGAAAATGGGGACAACATTTGCCTTCCTCCAGTCTTCTGGCACCTCACCTGTTCTCCATGAATTCTCAAAAATAACAGACAGAGGCTCTGGAATTACATCAGCAAATTCCCTGATGACTTAATTTCATTTAGAGAAGGTAGGTGTTTCTGTACCATTCCGATGCCTATCCTAGGCTGCAATTCCTTTCCCTCATCAGGTGTTCTGTTTTCCTTAGGTTGAGCACCGTCCCCCTTGCAAGAGAAGACTGAGGCAAAGAAGGAATTGAGCAGTTCTGCCCTCTCTTCACCATCTATTAAAATTTCTCTTTCCGTTCCCCACAGTGGGCGTACCACTCCCCTATTCTTATTCTTGCACCAAACATAATCAAAGAACCTTTTGTGTGTGTGTGTTTAGCATCTCTCGCTAGCCTCATACTGAGCTCTAGCTTTTCCAACACTCTCTCTACAAGCAGTGGCTATTTGTTCATATTCATCCTTGGTTATATGGCCTTCCATTTCCTAAATGTGTCATTTATTTATTTATATAATTCAATTTATACCCCGCCCTCCCCACTGAAGCTGGCTCAGGGTGGTTTACATAAAAGTATTTAAACAAAAAACTTTAATTCTCAGATCTTTAGAAAGCTGTTTATGGAGCCACTCTGGCTTCTTTAAGTTCCTCCCATTTTTCTTTCTCACTGGAATCATTTGTGACTGTGCCTTCATTATGTCGCTTTGAAGAAACTCTCACCCTTCTTGAACACTCTTGTCTTTAAGTATTTCTGACCATACGATTCTACCCAGTATGTGAGTGTGAGAGAGAGATGTTGTGGTTTTGTGCATGAATGTTAAAAGGACCATGGGAACAATGTGTGCAAAGGAATGCCTGCTCTATTTTAAGTATCTTTGTTCTCCAAACTACACTTAAGACTTGTAAACACCAAATAATCCTAGAAGTGTATGTTCCTCTTTTTGATGCACCTTTGATAGACTTTGGGTCACTGTGGTCCTTTGGTACAGTAATAGACTGCAGAGTCAGCAGCTGTCAGGGAGTTCAGCTGGAGAGAGACCTGGTTCTTGGAGGAGTCTGCAGAAATGGTTGTACGGCTTCGCAGAGAAGGGTTGTATTTCTTGACCCCATTATAGGGGTATACTTCTCCAACCCATTCCAGACCTTTCCCAGGAGGCTGACGGATCCAGTGCCAGTAATAATACTCAGCAGAAATTGAGACTCCTGTCACTTTACAGAGCAAATTGAGATTCTCTCCGGGTCTCACTGTTCCTGGTCCAGATGATGTGAGCTGAATGTCTGAAAAGGCCCCTGGGGAGAAAAAAGAACTTTGCAATGAATTCAGAACATCACAGAATTGGAGGCGTAACTGAACCAATGTTTCTAAAATTCTCACAGGGCACATGCTTACATTTCAGAGGGGTCACCATGAAAAATAAGAAAACAAAGACTAATTTCATGATGCAATTGAAGAACTGACTTAGCTTGACAAGAAAAATGAAGTGCTGACCTAGGGATAGAAGTGAGCTGCCTAAATGTCCAGGTTCCTTTTGAGCTAACCCAGCCCCTGCAGACTTCAAATGGGATTTGCATGAGTCCTTCCTCCTGTGACCTATGAAATATAAAGTTGCTGTGACAGAATTGCAAGACAAAGCAGGTTTTAAAATGTTGTTTGGGAAAGAAAGTCAGGGAGGTTATGAGATAATCTTCCCTGGAGAGAAAAGCTTAAGTGATTGGCTGCTCCACTCCTTTCTTATTGGTCAACATTAGCTTAGAGAGGGAATAAAACAGCTGATCTACAGGGAAAAGATTCATTCACCTTTTGAGTCATGTTTGGTTCTGGTATGAAACTTAATGTCTGAATCAGTAGCCAGAAGCAAGACTTTTTCTTTTCTTTTCTGGGGGAACTCAGTGGAACAGAGTTCAGGAACCTCTTCGACATAATTCTTTTAAAAATGTTTAAAAGTTCGTGAGTTTTTAGTAAACAAACTAAAAACTTCATTTCCCTCCCAAGAGTTCCAGCACCTCATTTTCCAAAAAGAAAAAGAAAAGAGAGCCCTGGCCAGAAGTTTTGGCTTCTGAGAGAGGAGACTTTGGGAGTTGTGGTTTCTGCCAGGTAACTGTCAGGAAAGTACTTCTATAGAGAGAAG